GATCCAAAAAGTAATTCAGTTAAGATACTTTACTCACTATAATATTGGCTAAATAAATAAGATACCTCTGATATCTACAAAGTTTTAAAAAAAGAAAAACATTTTTAAGAAAACATTCTGTTACATAGAGCTGCTAGTTCGGCATATACCAGATATTCATTACCAGACGATGCGGAGTGAAAAGTCTACAGTGTACCTATGTTATGAGATAAAAAATAAACAAATTATCCTTAATGAAAATACCTACAATTCATTTTCACCGTCTTTTGAATTTAGTTTCTATTGCTTTTTTCATAGCCTCTTCCTTTACGCCTCACTACAATATTAATCTTAAAAGCAGTGAATGAGAAACTTCAGGAGAACTGCAAAACAATATAATCGAGAAGTGGTGTGAATACATAAAAACTCAAAGTAACTGTTAGAAAATTTAAAATCACAAAATTTTACCAAAAATCAATGACAACAAAACGTACATATACGACTTTTCAACACTTTATACAACCATTCCCCACGATAAATTAAAGTCCAGGGTTTTTGACATCATTGACAGCTGCTTTTTCAATAAAAATAGAACTCGTAAATTTACTTACCTTGTCATTGATCATTTGCAACATTTTTTTTTTTTAAATATTCTGATTGTACATGCAAATACTCTGAAGTTGACATTAAAAAGATGCTTGAGATTCTGATTGACAATATCTATATAGTTTATAGTCTATATACAATGTCTTCCAACAATCTGTGTCAGAATTCCCATGGGTACCAATTTCAACCTCTTATTAGCAGACCTTTTTTTGTATTCATATTAAGCATAATTTATTCAAAACCTTATACATAAGAAAAAAAACACGTGCTGTGGCCTTCAACTCGACATTTAGATCTATCGACGACGTATTATCAATTAACAATTGTTACTTTCATTCATATGTCTACTCGATATAGTCCAGTGAACTCGAAATAAAAGATGTCACAGTATCTGACACATTTCTTTCATATTGAGGTATTATACTAGAAAATGACATTAATGGTAAGGGACTAGGCAATATTTATCACCAGGGTGGGACCGGTGCAAAAAAAAAATATATTGAGTAGAAAAAAGTCTTGGTCCCATACCTTACATAATAAAAAATAGTGTATATTCCATCTTCATTTGGTGTGAAGTCAAATTAATATCCATGAAACATGACCTTAATTTGCATCAGCCATCTAGAGCAATTGGATAGATGACTATCACTTGTAGGTACAAGGCAAAGTTTAAATGTGATTTTGGATTACATGCTACTTGAAAATGTATAAATATTGGATTTAATCAATAAAGAAAGATGAGGGATACCTCTGATCACTTTGGTACACACCTTGAAAACATAATTTAATTCTTTACATGTATTTACACATGGAAATATTCAAGAATTCTTAATTCTGCTTGTAGAATTTTTTTTTGAATTTCTGATATTTTAAGAAGATTTGAAATTCCACAGAAAACATACATCATCATGTTAAGGTCATTGAATCTATATTGGTGTGTTCTTTTAACGTTAACTTTTTTTTAATTTTTCAATGAATAATGACAAGTTTGGTACAGGTTTTCTTGTAATAACCTTATACTTTCTAAATCTCAAGCAATATTTTGTAAGAAGACTCGGAATTCCATAGAAAGCATCTAACATCATGTTAAGGTCAGTGAGTCAATATTGGTGTATTCTCTTAATTGACCATAATTTTTTTTAATTTTTTAATGAACTATGACAAGTTTTGAATAGTGTTTTTTTTAATAGCCTATACTTTCTTAATCTTCAGCAATATTTCGTAAGACTTGAATTTCCATAAAAAGCATCTATCATCTTGTTAAGGTCATTGAATCAATATTGATGTGTTCTCTTAATTGACCATAACCTTTTTTTCAACGAAATTTTGCAAGTTTGGTATAGTATTTCTTGTAATAGCCTATATTGTCTAAATCTTAAGTTATATTTTATTTTCCATAATCGTACTTGGAAACGTAAAGTTTAGAACTCAAGGTCAGGTCTAAATTGTTGAAAAAAACTGGAGAATCTGGGATTTGAGGGTTTATTATAGGGTTATAGATACTATTCATATATGATTATGAATGAAGTTTTCTCTCACTTCATTATAATAGAAAGTGATAATTATATTCAAAATATCATATTAGGTTCCATACTGAGGTATTTACATACAAATTATACCTGTATGATTTATTTATTGATATTAAGTGATAATTTTAGCTTTGTTGTAATGAAAAGGAAAAATAGAAATCTCTCATCTGTATTACTGTTATTAAAAAACTGCTTGTCCCTTTCTAATGAATGCCTAAAAAGTGCATGTCCCATCATACTTTGCACCGGGTCCCACCCTGGTGATAAATATTGCCTGGTCCCTAACCGAACAAACAAGCTCTATGATAAACGTGATGAATTTAACTTTTCAATCGTCAACTTCACTTACTTATGTAGCAATACACCCTTATCACTTGCATACAGGG